AATAACAGTGGGCAAATAACTAAACATTTCCCAGAATCTGCGCTACAAAGTTTATTTTAAACAGGTGTGGCGCGATCTGAAAAGCCGTACAAGTATCAGGGTACGGGACAGGATGAGGCAGCAAGCGTTAACCGGCAACCGGCCGGTTAATCAAGAGCCCATAACAGAGGTTGGGAGGCGAGTTATGGCGCTCATCGGCAGCGAGTACGTTGAGGGCAATGGAAGAGTTGTCGAAAATGTGCCTGTGGAAGAGGTAATATGGAGTCAGGTGATATTTTGGATTCCTCATTTCTAAAGCTTTTTGTATTCCTCAATAGAATTTGCAATTGCGTTTGGAGGATGGAGACGATAGTGTTGCCTCCGTACTATCGACTACCACAGCAGCTGACGATGGCGAGGTGATGTGTGCGACACCCCGTGTTTCTGCTAAAAGGACTCCGCGTAGGAGTCTAAAAAGGAAGCGAGAAGATGAGGAGAAGGAGAAGGAGATGCAGGCCAAGTTCCTGGAAGTGTCCAGCAAGCAAGCAGATGCTTTAAAAGTAAATTCCCATTAAAATGATTAATGTCTGGACGTCCAGTACTAGGTATAATGTACGATTCACGTTTGTATTAAAACAGAAATATTTTTTATCAGACTTAATCTGAATATTGTGAGAGCGTTTGTAGAATCAGTATTACCTCTTTCACACTCAGTGACTAATAATATATGTGCATAAAAGTCGAATGCATTATATCATAGTAAACTTAACCTCCAGACTTTACTAGTCGTTCTTTACGAATACGAATAAAATAAAAAAATATTATTGACTTTTGCATTTTTGGTTTTTTAGCTGCTAGCTGAATGTAGTGCCGCCAATACAGAAACCAACAAATTGATGGTTGAGGCGTTTAACAGATTGGTGGACGTCATTAGCTCCTGGACTTAATATTTTTATATATATTTTTAATTTAAGCTACAATAGCATTAACTATTTTAACTTATAGTATATACACCTATAACCAAAAAAAAAATATGTTAGCGAAATTTGCTTCAGTTATTTCTATTTCACTTTAGTTTATTTAATGTTGGTTAATTTTTTATAAAGTATAGCTCATTGTTTGACAAAAACCAAATGAATCTCAACTTTACACTTTGTATAAACCAAAAAAA